ATGGTGTGTTGCTCGTGTTTTGGGTCGAGGAGAAAACGTGACGTGGCGAAGAATCCAAAGCTCAAAGACATTAATTCCGATCATAAACCCAGACCTGACCGACCATCTTCTTATTCTGGTTTCATCTCACTTTCCCTTTTTTTCATTCATGCAACCATCATTCATCTGAATCTAGTTTAAATCAATCATAAAGTCTCTTCCTTTTTCTTCTGAATTGATCATAGAATCAGTTAGTCTATGTCACATGTAAAGGTTTCTGCTTTATAGAACCAATTGTTTTGTTATTAGTCTGTGTCACATGTAAAGGTTTAGGCTTTATAGTTTATTTGGTTGAGATCAAAGTCTCTCTCTCTTTTATTCTTGATGATCATAATGTAACATGTGACACAGACTCTTATTATGTTTTGTTTGTTTCCTCTGTAGCTAATACAGTTAGATCTTCACCACATTCTGAAATACAACAAGATCCTAGCAAGCAAACTCAATCTTTCACATACAGAGAACTCGCCACTGCAACAAACAACTTCAGGATCGAATCTATGATCGGACGTGGTGGTTTCGGTTCTGTTTACAAAGGAAAGTTAGAATATCCTCCTGGACAGGTAAACTCTTAAATCATCTACATTTTTTTATTTAGAAAAAAAAAACATGTTTTATGTCTGAAGTTTGTTTGTTGTTTGGTCTTAAAAAGTTGAAGAATGTGGCTGTCAAGATGCTTGATCCAACTGGTCGTCAAGGAGACAAAGAGTTTCTTGTGGAAGTCTTAATGCTCTCCCTCTTGCGTCACGAACACCTCGTGACTCTCTTTGGTTACTGCGCTGAAGGAGACCAAAGACTCCTCGTCTATGAATACATGCCTTTTGGTTCTGTAGAAGATCATCTCCACGGTAACACAAGAAACTATACTTTATAAAGTAAAATAAATCTTGAATACTGTTTTTTTGACTTTTCTTTCTTGTTATGATCAGGTTTCGGATCTGTTGAGGAGGTTTTAGATTTAAGCACAAGGATGCAGATAGCGTTAGGATCAGCTAAAGGTTTAGCGTATCTACACAACGTGGCACAACCTCCTGTGATCTACAGAGACTTGAAAACCGCAAACATATTGTTAGACCATGGCTACAAAGCGAGGCTCTCTGATTTTGGGCTTGCAAAGTTTGGTCCTAGTGGTGACATGTCTCATGTCTCTACAAGAGTGATGGGAACTCACGGGTATTGCGCACCAGAGTACGCAAGCACAGGGAAACTGACGATGAAATCTGATATCTATAGCTTTGGAGTTGTGATGTTGGAGCTTATCACTGGACGTAAACCTATTGGGGACTCATGCATGGGTTCAAAACGTATGCTTGTGAACTGGGTAATGAATCTGAATTGTTACATTTAAAGTATGTTATGAACATATGAGTGACTTTTTCTTTGTTGGTTTTTAGGCATTGCCGTTGTTCAGGGAGCAAGAGATAAGAAAGATAGCAGATCCGATGTTGTCAATACAAGGTCATCGTTACATGGAGGAAGCTGTGGGGAGAGCACTTGAGTTGGCTTATATGTGTTTGAGAGAAGATGCAAACGCTAGGCCAACGGTGAAGGAAGTAGTGGAGGCTTTAGATAGTATAGTGAAGTTCATAGCGAGGAAGAAGAAGAAAGAGAGTATTGGGTATGGAAGAGGAGTGGAGTTGGAGAAGAGAGTTGCAGTGAGCTCACCTAAGGAGACGACGAGGATGTTGAGTGTTAATGAGATAGAAGTAGAAGAAGGAGATTTGGCGAGAGAAAGAGCTGTTGCTGATGCTAAGATTTGGGCTGAGACTATGAGATCGTTGAGGAGACAGAGTAATGAGCCACCAAAGCAGAATACTACTCCTTAAAGTGTTGAGAAACTGAACAAATGTTTTATTTTCTTAATCTGGAGAGTCTTTAGTTCTCTGTTTATGTTAGTTATTATACAGAATGATTATGGAAAGAATGAACTTGTGAATAAAGAGTTTAATGCCGAGACAATTTTGAATTGGTGGAATTAGCCATGAGCATTCAGTTCTAGAGGTTAAAGATCTCTTCGATTATTTAGAAAATTTGGATTATATAGAAAATTTGGTTCAATTTCGGATAACAAAATCGGAAATAGGTTTCTAAAATAATATATTATCTCATTCAGTTTTTTGGTTAATTCGAGTAAAAATATCAAAATTGAAAGTTTCCAGATTGAATATCAGATTTTTTTCTTTCAAATTTTCATATTAAAAATTATAATTCAAATAATTTTTAATATTTTGTATAAAAGGTATTTTAGTAATTCGATTTTTGGGTATTTTGCTTATAAATAATATCTTTAAAATTAATTATTTTAAAAAAAACTAACATAGTGTTATGGACGAGTTTATGGATGGGCCTTAACCATTAGTTAGACTTAGGACTAGCCCAAGGTCGTGACCCATTAGTCTTGTAGGCGGCTAGGTTCTATTTCCATTCTTATGTATTTCCAATTCCTTGTTGCTTTAGGAATTGGATGTTTTCCATTTATCTCTTCTTGTAAGTCCTTATATAAAGGAACCTATATTCATCAGTAATAATAACACAGAGTATTCCCCATTACTTTCTCTCATTCTCCTCTTGGTTTACAACACGTTATCAGCACGATAGTCTTACCAGAGCTAAGAAACCAATCAACAAAACCGTAGCTCTCTCTCTCTAGGCGGCAGCAGCAAAACCCTAATCCCAGCCGCATCTTCAAAGCGACGTATCTCCTAAACCGTGTGTACCCAGACGACGAGTCACCTATCAATCTCAAGATCTCGAAGAGAAGAAGCTACCAGTCCAAAGAACGTCTCAATCCGATACCAGACGCGTCCTCTAGCTCAGAAACAAGCCGGCGGATGATTTTCCTTTTCTCCTACCCGAGAAACCTTAATACTGGCTCAACTTCAAACCGATGTATCTCTCAAACCACGCGGTCCCAGACGACGATCTACATATGCAATTGAAGCTCTTGAAGAAAAGAATCCATCAGTTCAAACAGCGTGTCAATCCGACATCAGACGCGCCGTCAATCACCAAATCAATCCGGCGGACCAAATTTCCTTTTTCCCATCCGGAAAACCCTAACAATTTTCCTTTTATCCGACCAGCCTCCTTACACTTTCCTTTTGCTCGATTTTCATTGTACTTTTGGCTGATAAAACCATATTTTATCTTTCCTTTTTGTAGGTGAAAGTTATAGCTTAAGCTACAAGCCACCACAAGTGTCAAGCTCAAGAAACCCTAGCCGCTTCTCTCTCTCTATGCGGCTACCTCCTTCTCTCTATGATACATTAGTTGATTTATGATCTAATACCTCCTTGTTTATTGTTTCATGAGCTGAGACACGAATTTCCTTTCCCGGAGAAGCCATAGTACGCGGAGAAGAAACCACCAGCCGCCTTGATCGAGAAACCCTAACAGGCGGCCACTAACTCCGACCAACCAAACCAAACGACTAACTCCTTCCTTTTACTTAATTTTTACTTTCCTTTTGGTTAAGAAAATCCTAGCTAACTTTCCTTTTTGCAGGTGAAAGCCATAGAAGGTTTAAAGCTGGAGAAACCCTAGCCGGTTACTCCACATCTCTCTCTAAAGGTGGTCCGGTTACTAATCTTCAAACAATGGTATACCTATAAACCCTAATTGATAGAAACCATTAGGTATGGAATCAATAAATCTATGATAGGATATCGGATAGATTTTGTGATTGTTTGAACACATAGAACCGGATGATAAGTTTTAAAACTTGGTTGTTTGAAGAACCATAAAACCCTAATTTTTAAATCGGTTTGATTGATGATTAAGGTTTTTAAAATTGTTCATGTTTGATTGAATGATTGATGATCTGAGGTTTTAGGGTTGATAGTTTAATATGTAAACTGATCACGAATTGAATATCTTAAGGTCTTGAAAACCTTAAACCCTAAAGGCCTTGAAACCTTGTAACCGATTTTGTTGATGCTGTTTTTCTTAAAAACGTTTTTGAGGTTTATGAATTGAATCTTGATTGATTGAATCTGGATATCTAAAGGGCCTTGAAACCCTAATTACCACAATTATTAAAATCAGGGGGAGAATTGATGATTGATTTTGATTAATTGATTGGTATGATTGTTTGATGCATTCATAAACCCTAAGTTATGATTCTCGGCCTTGAAACCGATCTAGGATTGTTTTTGCATCTCATCCTAGTAGTCATGACTTGTGGCCGTGTGGCCTTGTATGTACCATGACATGAAATTGTTTGTGTTTGTTTATATGTCATGGCCGTGTAACATTATTTGTTTGGTATAACATGTGAATGAAAGCAGTGTGACTTAGTATATGGCCATATCGATCAACTACAAGTCATATGAGTTTTGAGTGATCATTGAGCGTGTGTATGTTTGATTCG